AGGATAAATTCTACCTTGAACCATACCTGAAAGAGGTTATTCGGGAAAGAAAAGAGAGAGAAGAGTGGGCCAAGAAGTAATCATATAGCTGAAATCTATGGATGCAGCTGCCATCAAAGTATTTTTATGAAGATTGTTAGACCTGAAACATAACATTTTAAGAATTCTTTCATCTGCAGATGTATTACTTTAAATAAATGTCTATAATAATCATTGTTGGAGTTTTTGATTTGTAAACCTTACACTGAATAACTTTTGGATTTACTTTAAAAAATTTTTTCCAAACTGCCTCCTGGAGCTCAAAGGCTGCTTTATTAGCTTTTCCTCACTGACTCAGGTGTCTTCAAAGTACAGTCCATGGGCCACGTGCAGCCCGCCGAGGACATTTATCTGGCCCACCAGGTGTTTTTGCTGCTGCTGCCTGTCCTGCTTAGCAGCTGACTCATCCCAGGGCCCGCAGCCTGGCCCTCCAACGGTCTGAGGGACAGTGAACTGGCCCCTGTTTAAAAAGTTTGAGGACCCCTGGACTAGATAATCTATTGATTTACTGAGGAATTTAACATTATATCAAATAGAATAGCCATCTTTAGGTTGCTTTTGTAGATTAACAAGACACTTAGAAGCTAGCTACATCATGGTCTCACAGGTGTGGAATGGAGCCAAAACAAGCTCCAGTGACTTCATTCTTCCGAAGCAAACGGAGCACTTGAGCAGACTGGCTCTTGTACTTCAGAAGTCACTGAATAAAAGAAGGAAGGATTTTACCCCTGGTTTCCAGGATTGGGAAACAGCCTCTTTGACTGCTACTCTCCAAATGGATTTGATTTTGCATTCTACCCTTTAAAAAGAAACTATGTATGTACTCCAGTCAGGTGTATTTATTGCATATGTGTTCCTGTACTAATATGTAGATTAGAAACAAGCTGTTAGAAAAACAGGACTACAAAGACAAATTTTACTTCCTCATTTCCCTGTGATTTTTCCCCTTTGGAAATGATTGTTATGAATAAGGTTTAGGTACTAAGCAGTTAAAAGTTTTAAGATTATAGGGCAGCTTTAAAACTAATTTGGAATCATTCAATGATGTCATCATTTTTTCACCCCTGAATTCCACAAAACTCTAGTGAGGTGAGAGCATGGAACCAAACTTAGCAGGGCAGGAACTGTAGGACTGGCAGCCTGCTGGGGTTCTACAGGCCACTGCTGTGTGGTGGGAATGCTTTACCTCAGTTACAAAATGGGAAGAACAAGTTTTGTGTCACATTGAAAATTGACAAAGCAGGCTCAGTGTCCATGGCATAGTGGCTACAGTGCTGGCCACATGCACTGAGGCTGGCGGGCTCAAACTTAGCCCAGGCCAGCTAAACAACAATGACAACTGCAACAAAAAAATAGCCGGGCGTTGTGGTGGGCGCCTGTAGTCCCATGGGAGGCTGAGACAAGAGAATTGCTTGAGACCAAGACTGAGGTTGCTGTGAGCTATGATGCCATGGAACACTACCAAAGGCAACAAAGTGAGACTCTGTCTCGAAAAAAGAAAAAATTGATAAAGCAATCTGTGTGTGTGTATTTTTTCAGTAGTTGATAATCAAAAGACTTGTATCATAAAGAGCATCTTTTAAAAATTTTAATTCAGGTTAATGTGCAAACAACTAGGTTATGATTTTCATTTATTAGGTAGCATGTCCCTTGTAGTATGTGCCGCACCAAGAGGTGTGTCATATACCCTTTCTTGTGCTCATTAAGTGGGAGCACACCTTTCCTCTCCTCCCTCCCCCATCTCATCTCTCCCCTCCCTCATTCTTCCCTCAACTTGAATTGAGTTTTTCTTTTACATGGGTGTGTATTAGGTTGTCTACTGGGTTCATATCAGTATTGAGTACATTGGATACTTTTACATTCTTGTGATACTTTACTAAGAAGAATGGGTTTTAACTACATCCAGATTAATACAAACAATGTAAAATCTTTTTTTATGGCTGTATACATGTATCACAGTTTGTTAATCCATTTCTGGGTTGGTGGACATTTAGGTTGTTTCCACATCTTGGCAATTGTAAACTGAGCTGCAGTTAACAACCTAGTGCAAATGTCCTTATGATAAAGTGACTTTTTTTCAGCTCGGTGCCTGCGGGCTCAAGCAGCTAAGGCGCCAGCCACATACACCTGAGCTGGCAGGTTCAAATCCAGCCTGGGCCTGCCAAACAACAATGATGGCTGCAACCAAAAAATAGCCGGGTGCTGTGGCGGGCGCCTGTAGTCCCAGCTACTTGGGAGGCAGAGACAGGAGACTGGCTTAAGCCCAGGAGCTGGAGGTTGCTGTGGGCTGTGATGCCATGGCACTCTACCCAAGGTGACAGCTTGAGGCTCTGTCTCCAAAAAAAACAATGACTTTTTTCTTCTGGGTAAATGCCTAGTAATGGGATTGCAGTATGAAATGGGAGGCCGAATTTGAGCATAAAGAGCATCTTTTAACACTTTTGCTTAAATATTGGAAAGCCTCCAATAAATTCTCCCAGAGCCTTCCTTTGGTATTCAGATTATTTTTTTAAACTCATCTTGAAATCATGTTGATTTTCTTTTGTCTAGGTCAAGATAGTTAGATCCTCTGTTGATAATGGTTTTGCTCAGGTCACATAATGACAAGGTCTCAGTATAGTCCTACCTGGCAGAAGAAGGCTGAGAAGATGGATGCTATAGAAGCCCTATTGTTGAAGAACATTGGCATGCTCAGAAATTTTCCCTGAGTAGAACTCTCCAAAAGCTCTTTTAATTGTAACTTAAAGATTACTTCTGCAAGAGTCTGGCCTATATGGTCAGACACCAGAGGTACACAATTACAAGGAGACTAAACTCAAATCAGAGCACTGCAAAGATGTGTGGGTAGAGGCAGGCTATGCAATGATCCTGGAAACTATGATGGTAAGTGTGGTTGACATTTAAAGCAAGTCTAAGAGCACCACTGAAAGGTGGGGACAAACAACTGACCAAGATTGAGGTATAACAGGAAGAGGAATTCCCAGGTTATTCACCTGCTCAATGGGCTGCTCAAGTGGCAGAACAATGGGCTGATCTTAGATTTTTTGAGTTCCTCCTAACCTCAATGTGTATGCTCATTCTACGTTGCTTGATTACCTTATTCTAAATGAGAACAAGTTTGCAAAATTCTGTTAATTATAAATTATTGTTCTGCTTGTAAAGAATAAGACAAAAAGGAGAGCCTGGCTCATTCAGAGACTTGGTGAATGGGTGAGAATTTGTTAATTCATCAGTGAAATCCATTCATTTGAAGAGAGGGCCTTTGTGTTATCAAAAGCTGTCCTGTTTGAAAAAATCACCATGGGAGTGTCAGAGACAGGCTTGTCATCCTGTAGGCAGGATTAGACTGCACAGGTCTGAATCTATTTGCTAATCATGTAACTTTAGGAATACAATTCAATTTATTTATGCCTCAGTTTTCTCAGCTCTAAAATGAGACTAATGATAGCACTTATTTTCCAGGGTTGTGAAAATTAACTGATTACACTAAAATTAAGCACTTAGAACAGTTTCTGGCACACAGTAAGCATGATGTAAGCTGCATGACTAGAAGGAAGAATAAACAATTTGGGAAAATGGTACCCTCGAGTCTAAGAGCTGACTTTTACCTGATGTCCAAGGTCCTTCCTTTCTTGTATCTCCTAGACACTCTCATTCTGGCCACTCTTTCCCCCTTGGATGTCTGACCTCCTTGAATGAAATGTCCATCACCTGAGATGAGAAGAAGTGGAATTGGATCCACATGATGACCTCGATCAGGATGGAGCCTGGCTAGCACTTGGCTATCTCCTTGTTTTGCCTTTTGGATTGGTAGTATTTTTAAACTTCCAACATTTCAAATCCTGCTAATTTGCTTTGTACAGTTTAAAACGTTTGATACCTTTTATTGCTTAAAGTTTGAGATTGATTTTGAATATATGGTTTTCCTAGAGTTGAAAGAATTGTTTGCCCTGAAATGGTATGTTCTGTTTTTCTATTTTATATACTTTGCAGTTTCATCCAAGAAAAACAGACAGCTGCCTTATGTTCACTATTGTAATTCACTGCCTGGTATCACTCAGTCTTCACTGTGTCAAGGTGTAGGGTTAAGGCATGCTGGGGCCTCACACTCCCAAATACTGACTCTTAATTCCATACTGCCCACAAGTACTGATAACATTCTTGAACTGAATTCTCGTGGCCTAAATATTTATGTGATACTCTATTTTTAAAGGGTACCAAAAGGTTACAGGGCCTTTTCCTGTTTTTAAATTCTAGAATCTTAATAAAATCCAAAGTGTAGATTTCAGTAATGATATCATGTAGTTGTTTAGTTTAAGGACTCCCTTTTAAAGCATTAACTCTGTGTTGATTATTATTTCCTCAAAGATTCAGTAATAAGAATCAAAACTGGGCCAAGGTCCAAAGTTTTAACTATAGTAATCCTTCCAAATTCACAAACAGTATTTTTAAAATATAGACATCCCATGTGTGGCTTTGAAAATAAGTAATATTTGGAATTAAACATTTAGGTAAACATAAAAACTGTCATAACCAAATCCCTGGCAGCCTGGTGGATGGAGGGCAGATAGGTTTATGGCACCATGGATTTTAGGAACTACAGTATGGGAGTGGACAAAATGTGGATGAGACCCAGGGCCCTTGTTCCCTTGGAACAAGACAAAGTCTGCCACTAGGTGGCGACGCAATGTAACTTTACAACTGAAAGGTACCTTCATTCCGGACCCCACCAACTTCCTCCCCTTCATTTTTCAGGATGACAGCACCTTTAGAGGTTTATGGCCATCAGGAGAATTTACTACTAAGCTATATGCTGATGTAATGAAATCTAATATATGCTGTGCAATGAATTATGAGATGTTATTTAGTTTCAGGATTTTATTACTTCAATCGGTTATGACCATATTTCCTTTTATATGATTGCTCACTCTTTAAACATACCAGATGACTGTATAAGGAACACCTAATAAAGTCTATAGATGTTAAAATACAAATGTTTTAATTTATTTTCCGTAATTTGTTTAAATTCTGGTTATACTGGTGTTCATATTAAGAGCCATAACATGTTAAAATCCGAAATCTCAGATCAGATGGTTCCTCTAAGTTACTATTTTGCTAAGAAATGTTATTGTATGTATTAAAAATTGAGCAAGCAAGAATAAGTAAATCATTGC